CAGCAAAACTAGGTTTTCTGTATACTGACGGCACAATAGGACCATCAGACTGCTCGACAAATCAAACGATCACAGGCATGGCAATGTCTGTAGCATTGATACTGTTTGTAGGGGGAATTGAAGTTTTGTCTCCTCGAAGATTGTTTGTGTAAATCGCTGCAATGGAGTTTGAGAATCCTTAGAAAAGATACAACATGAATGACAAAGGACAATATAATCCAAAACGTGTGTGTGTGTGTGTGTGTGCATGGCAGAGCATACACGGGTACTCACAGGCTTACTAGGCGAGGTAGATTGTAAAAAGCATTACGTGGCAATGAAGTAAGTTTGTTATTCTTCAGATCCCTAAACAAATCACATCAGGTACCATCGATTGTGAAAAAAGAAATGCCTAACTAAATTGAGGGTAAGTTTAAAAAAGAATAACTCAGATGGTGAGCCCATCTAATTATGATAAAAAAGGAGAAGGACAAAATGTTACGAATCATGACTAACTGTCCACCAACATAACCATAATTATCATACACAGTCAGTAAGTGCGACAAAATGGCACAAAACTGACAAGGAGTACTGAGACATTCAGGGACCTGACACCTAGCCCCAACACTTCTCCAAGACGCAAACCAACAGCCTTCCAACTTGGAAGGCTCAAATTCGGAAAGTTTTTGTGCCTTTTTGTCGCACTCGCTGACTGTATATGATCTGGTTCCGTTGGTGGACAGTTTGTTATAACTCGTAACGTTTTGTCCTTCTCCTATTCAAAAAAAAGAGTCGGTAATTCTTTGGTTTGGGCCGGAAGCACTTTTGTTTGCTCTGTCTTATTAGTCATGAGCCCTCCTTCAATGGGCACTGAGCCCCATCATAGTATGACCCTCAATATGGACATGAATCTTACTGTCTGGGACCTGTCCATGTTGCGCAACTTGGCAAAACATGAGTATGTGGCCAACTGGTCAGGCGAAATAGCACGTCATCGTACATTTGAGACCGGCGGGAAGAAGATGATGACGTCCACTAATTTAGTATCTGTGCACACGAATGTGCTGTGTGTGTGACTTTGTGTGTCAGCTATGACATCAAAACCTGTGGTTCCATGCCTACTGTGTAGGTCAGAACCATCCTACAAAGTTTGAATGACGTAGGTAGAACGATCGCGCCGCGATCCATACCTTTTGAAATTCTCTTTGTAGTATACCTTCCACCATTGAAATTTCGAATTTCTTGCTGAGAGTAGGGATGTCAGCGAACGCACTGCGCAGGCCTCTGCGCATGCATTGCGTCATCGATTTTTTGAACGTGATCGCGGCCGACAGAGAAAACATGGCCGCGGTCTGTTTGCACCGCTGGGAGTCGTAAAATTACTGTTCTTCTGTCCCCGCGACCATTCAAATCATACGCGATACAGGAGGACCCACGAGCTCACCACGTTCTCCCCGGTCGATTTCTCTGAAAGTTTGCACATCGTGAAACACCAGTATGAGAGGTGTTCAGGCCAATTTTCAAGGGATTACCCTGGTTGGATCGTTCCAAAATCGGACTTGCATTTCTCGCTCGCGGCCATTTCTTGCGCGATGGAAGCGCCCTGCCCTGGTGAGTAACCAGCGTCGCGCTTGGTAGAGAGTTGCTGCAATCAGCTCCCTGATGTCTTCGCTGCCATTGTCAGAAGCGATGGGCCCTGAATTTGTTTGAGAGTCTCTGGATGCTACTTTTCCTCAGCCTAGTTTTCAGCCATTCCGTGCATCTTCTTCGCACGATTTATTTTGCAAAAAAATTAAAGGGTTCATGAGTTTTTTTTGTCGGCCGCGCGTAGATGGGCCAGGCTGACCTGCGCAGCTGGGCTGCGCAGTGCGTTCGCTGATATCCCTACTGAGAGGGGTAGCTTGCAACCTCGATATGGCTTGTTCCAGGCATGCTGTGAAGAGAAACTCTGTTAAAGTAGTGGTGGGGATCTGCCCTGCAACTGCTACAACAACAAAAATGATTCGATCTGAGAAAGCGTGAGACCGCGAATCTCCGTTGAATATTGAGTATTTCAAGCCTTTTCACAACGAAGATGGAGTTCTTTTTGGAGATGGACGTCGCGGCAAAGGACACGGTTTCCGACTTCTGGCGTCTGGTAAAGCCAGGAGTCATTTGTCCAGTCAGGTCGGGAGCCTAACCGTCGGCAAGCTTGTGTTTGGATCGCGTTCTGCTCAATGTGGTGGATCCCAAACAATTTTGATATCGCACAAATTGAACTCTGCATCGTGCGTACGGTATTTTATATTCAGAAAATCACAAAGTGTCTAACTCTCTGTGTGGCCGTCCTATGCCACGAGAAACTCTAATCAGGCGCCTATGTCCTCTGCCTTCTTGATTGAATGTCCACTTCGTTTGAACAATGAACATAACAATCGAGGACGGCTTTGCAATGAAAAATACAGCTATACTGGAGCTGAAAAGAAGAAGAAAAAACGTGCTCAGGATGAGACTCGAGTACACGCGTACTCTCCCAGCAGGTTTTATGGATGTCGCTCATAGACGCGTAATCAGTTCGCGTGACGTGGAGCCCACTCGCTCGGCCGGACCTGGTTGCTGAACTTTGCAAAGCAGCCTGCAGGGTCGCCAGATCCAGTCCGACTGGTCTGGCCATGACTGGACCACTTTTCCCAGCTGGATGGTCAACCTGATTCATGCAAAACAGGTGTAAACAATTTCAGAGGGCCAGGACTTGGACTTGTGCCAAGGATCGTTCAATGCACGACCTCACCTTCCACCAAAGCCCTGCAGCATCGGTCTCTCCTAGATCCTATAGAAAATACATAAGCGAGTCAACATTGGAAACGAGCGAAATCACGAGAGTCGAGAGACGTCTACGTGAATGCTGCACGAGGAAGCCGCAAACATGATCCCGTCTTTCGGTAAAGAGCGTGTAGAGTGTGCGCACACGTACACTGCATGCATGGTTCATGTACACCTTGGCCGCATCAGGCCGTCAAGCATAGCATACTCCTAGACTGAGCTCATGAGGGCTTACAGGAGTTGACTCGAGGTCATGTAGATCTATGCACCACCACCAAAACGATGCATGTCTTGACGCCAGATTTGGCGGTCCTACATGATCCATGGTCAACTCGCGATCATGTTGGGCCCGGAAGACTAGCCTTTCGCACGTGCAGTGTGTATACAGGGCAACGTGAATGTTACTTCTTGTATTGTAGCAGAGTTTACAGCCCCATGGGCAACTTCTTGTAGTTGATCTACAAGACTACGTGACACTTGCACGATAAATCTGACTCCAGTCATTCCAGCATTACGAGTAGTTGCAATTATTTATTTACCGTTGGTGTTCCATTATCCTGATGGCGTTATGGCGTTGTCAAACATGCCGGACCGAGCTTGAGTGCTCAAGTTGAGCGGGTTCTGCCGGGTTGTGGAGGACAAGCCCCTTCAACCGTGTGACCTGACAATCCCCCATGTTGCGTTTGGTGTGAAGAATGTTATGTGCCGCTCCTTTCCGTCGAGTTGGTTCTCCTCATGGGAATGGCTACATTGGGATTCAAAGAGCGAGCGTGTGTTTTGCCATACCTGCTGCTTGGCTGGTTCGAAGGAACTTTTGATTGCTAGCTGCGCTGCTGGTGCGTTTCTGATAAAGGGGTTCCAGAACGGGAAGGATGCGGCAACAAGTTTCAGGAACCACGAGTCGTCGGAGTGCCACCGCGAAGCTATAGAACGATTGCTAACAGTACCTTCCACCACGAAAGACGTAGGTGAACTCTTGTCGTCCAAACTTGCGGAGGACAAAATGGCTGCCGACTCTAGCACTATTGAGCAGATGACTGCCATATTCCGCCGGGTGGAACAACATGAGGATTTTACTGGCATGTATGCCCTGGAGAAATCCGATGCAATCACGATTTTTGGCAATGTGCACAAAACTCAACCTACCATTAGAGTTCTGCCGTGGACAATGTTATGGCGGGGCATCTGTCATGAAAGGGCATCAAAATGGCGTCGCAGCACAACTACTACAGGCAAACCCCAGAGCGTTACACACTCATTGCTGCAGGCATGCCTTAAATTTAGCTTGCCAGGATATGGTTCGAGACATCAATTGTGTCAAGGATTGTCTCAACACCATGTTTGAGTTGTCAAACTTCTTAAGTATTCCGCGAAGCGCAATGCCACATATGAAAGGCTCAAGGATGATATGGCTCCTGACCAAGCAGGATTTCGCACTCTATGCCCCGCAAGATGGACCACTCGCTCAGTCTCCCTTGCTAGCATTGTAAGCAACTACTCCGTCCCGCAAACCAGCCTTACCGAGTTCGAGTCAATGGCTACGTACGATGCTGAGATGTCAGCTCGTGTAAGTGGAATTGCGCACCAGTTCTCGCTGTTCAGTTTCCTGTTTGGCTGGCGTGCTGGGATGCAAAGTTCTTGGACTTGCCGAGAACCTGAGCAAGACTTGGCAAAAGAAGGATATTTCTGCTGCGGAAGGTCAAGCAGCAGCAACCGTCACTCTGTGATTCCTTACAAGCCTTCGTAATGATAGATCTTTTGACACTTTTTGGGCGGACGTTGTCAGAGTGCAGTCAGCCAAAGACGTGGATGGGCAGGTTCTAGTGAGGAAGCGGAAGACACCAGCTCGCGTTGCTGTCAGAATCGGCCAGGGTAACTATCCTGAATGCCCTGCTCTCCACTAAAACCCTACTGTATAAGTACAAATTTTCGTTCACGAAATCTTTCGTTAAATCACTCCACCAGCAGGCTTGTTACATACTAAATTTCGTTTTTGGTCGAGGTCTGTCGCCCCGAACGTTCAGAAAAAAAACTTCAGTTTGGTACAAACTTTAGTTAACCCACATGCATGCACGCATACACACAATAAAACATAAAACAACCAAAACATCAATATGCACATTTATCCAGACACGCTCTCACATACACACGCACGCACATGCGTGCCAAACGTACAAAACGTGGACACATGTACACCAAGCAGATAGAACACAAGGAAGTGGGGTTTGCCATAGTTTTTTTTTTTCAATTTTGTCTGATAAATATTTACGAGACTTTGCATCGAGCGACACCGTGGATAACATTGAGCCAAGAATTATGCAATAAACCAGAAGAGATATCTCTTCACAAGTAGGCAAATAAATGCGTAGGTGCCCGGCAACAGCAATCGGGCGAGTCACAGCAATGTACGTATTGCAACTTCAATGATACACATACACGGTTGACCACCCATGCCTCCATTTTCGGCGGGTCAACCACATGGTGGCCCGGCAACTTCAAACGGGAACACACCGATACAACAGACACAGTTGACCACCCATGCCTCCATTTTCGGCGGGTCAACCACATGGTGGCCCGGCAACTTCAAACGGGAACACACCGATACAATAGACACAGTTGACCACCCATGCCTCCATTTTCGGCGGGTCAACCACATGGTGGCCCGGCAACTTCAAACGGGAACACACCGATACAACAGACACAGTTGACCACCCATGCCTCCATTTTCGGCGGGTCAACCACATGGTGGCCCGGCAACTTCAAACGGGAACACACCGATACAATAGACACAGTTGACCACCCATGCCTCTGTTAGCTGCTCCCGGCTAATGATGCCCCTCACACCGGAACACAGGGGTTTATATGATTGGATAGTTTATAGAAGTATTCGATAAGAGTGTAGACAGAAGGAGAACAGGACAACGACAACTCAAGACTAGACTAGAACAGAACTGGAGCATGCGCTCTTCTATGTGAGTGCTCATTGCCAAGGGGAACGAGCGGGAAATACAAATAGTGAGTATTCAGATCGTAGCATACATACACCTATTACACTGTGCCCCCCTAGCTAAAATTCACGTCCACGGGAATGAACGAAATACCTAGGAAACAACAAAAGAAAACAAACCAAATAATAAACTCAGTCCAGGACATAGTCAGCTAGTCGAGCAGGTGCAGTGCGAACACGGCCAGAACGACGAGAAACAGGAGAAGAAGTACGGACCGGATCAGACGACGGCGGCTGTAGCGGCGGAACGCAGCGCGGCAAATCATCATCGGGCAGCGGCAGCGGGTCAGGACTAGAAACAGTAACGGCAGGCGGTTGACAGTCGGGAGGACGGGAAACGGCTTCAGGCGGACGAACAAACTTGCCACTGGCAGCATCATATCGGGTGAAACACTCAGACAGAGCAGGATCAGCACACGGAGCAAGAAGACTCTGAGGCTTGAAACAATCAGGTGACGACGGTCCAGCGGCAGAGGCACCAGGAGGACGAACAAAAACGGCCGAAGGAAGAATCTCGGCAGCCGGAGGAACATCAGCAGCAAGTGGCACTTCAGCAGCAGCTGACAGCGGAACATAACGGGCAAGAGGCGGCGGACTCGGCGGAGGAGACGGCACATCGGTCACCACACGGGACATAGCATCGGCATTCAGATGTTGGCGACCTGGACGGTGGACGACTCGGAATTCATATTCGGATAAACAGTCAAGCCAACGTGCTTTCCGTCCGCGGGGTTCCTTCAGGTTCCGGAGTGCAGTCAACGCAGTATTGTCCGTCCTGGCAACAAATGGTCGTGCCAACAAGTAGTGCCTGAAATACTCCGCAAAATAGACCAGAGCAAGGGCCTCACGATCGCTAGCATCGTAGTTGCGCTCAGCTTTCGTCAGTACACGGCTGCCGTACCCAATTGGTCGCTCAGTTCCACCCTGGATCTGGCTGAGGACTGCACCAATCGACACATTGCTCGCATCGGTGTCCAGAATGAATGCACCTGCTGAAGCTTCAAACTGGGGGTACGCCATCACCGGCGCACTGGCAAGCGAACGCTTCAGAGCCTGGAACGCCGCTGCGCAAGCTTTCGACCACACAAAGCGAGCATTCTTGCCTGTCAGAGCAGTCAGCGGAGCAGCACGCTGGGCGAACCCACGGATGAAGTGGCGATAATATCCAGCGAAGCCAAGGAACTCGCGGACAGCTGTGACAGATTTCGGAGTCTTCCAGTTCCTGACCGCGACGAGTTTGGCTTCATCCGGGGAGATGCCCTCCGCTGACACGCGGTGTCCTAAGAAAGTGACCTCCTCCTGGAAGAAGGAGCATTTCTTCAGATTGAACCGCAGTCCAGCGGACCGAACTCGCGCGAACACGGGCAGCAGAATCTGGAGTTGGCCAGACAGCGTTTCGCTGGCATTCAGGACATCATCAAAGAACACACGGCAGAATGGCTGGGCCGGTGTGTTACATAAGCCACTCAGGACTGCTTCCATTACGCGCTGAAATGTCGCTGGGCCATTCCTGCAGCCCATCGGCAGAACATTAAACTCAAACAAGCCCAGTGGCGTGGTAAATGCCGTCCTAGCCTTGTCGCTTCCTTCCATTGCTATTTGCCAGTACCCTGACACTAAGTCAAGGGACGTGAAATACCGACAGCCAGACAGGGAATCAAGCATGTCATCCGCCCGGGGAATCGGGTAAGCATCAGGCTCGGTGACAGAGTTCAACTTCCTGTAGTCGATACAGAGTCGAAGAGAGCCATCCTTCTTTGGCACCAATACTATGGGTGATGCCCACGGACTAATCGATTCTTGTATTATGCCTTGCTTTAACAGCGTATTCAGTAGATCTTGCAGAGCCTTCCGGCGGTGATATGGAATCCGCCGGGTAGGTTGTTTTATAGGGTTATTTTGTCCTGTGTTAATTTTATGAGGGAATATGTCACAGTAGCCATAGTCATCATCATGCAAGATAAATAAATCGTGGTTATCATGAAGTAGTTCAGTGAGCGTGCGAGACTGTTCTGTGGAGAGATGATTTTGTGCGTTGATATATTCATCGATGACTTTCTTGCGTTGCTCAGTTAGCGGGATCGGGTCGGGTGAAACTGAGGAAACCATAGCTTCAGTGTCGTCAATATGTTCACAATCTGTAGGAATTTGATGAAGTTCGGCAACATTGGTATTTTTATGAATGAGTATAGGATGATTTGCATGATTTTCAACAGCCACAACCACACGTGTTTGGTTAGGGCTAACAGTTACAAGACTAGGAGTCACTGCCACATCTGGATGCTTCGCCATAAAGGACTCCAATGGATCTGCCACACAATCCATCGCAACCGTGCACACATCAACAGCTGCACAAGGCACCAAGACAACATGTCCTGCAGGTACCGACAACTCCATCTCAAACAACACACGAGATGAGTATACCACAGGGTCAGCCACACTCTCGGGCGCACACGCCGGGACAACGCCAGGTTGAGCCATGGGTTCAACAACCCGTGCAGACAATGAATCGTCAAGGGCAACACGAGAAGAATACGACGAAACAGGTACATCGTCGGAGCATGCATCAGAATGAGGAGTATGAGTATTACATGAGGGGGAAGTATTACGCGGAACAATACGATCATAGGGCGTACGTGACGGAGGACACCCGGAACCAGAAACATGCAACGGAACAGACACATCGCCAAACATCACAACACCACGAGCAATATCTAATACACCACCATGCTGCAACAAAAAATCGGAACCAAGAATCATGTCACAGTGAATACCAGGAGACACAACAACCGTGTGCTGGAAAGACAGATTTCCTAGCGACATACACAGATCCATGGATCCAACGACAGGAAGTTGTGCGCCATTGACTGCACACAACCGCGGAGCAGACTCTAGAGGAGGTCGCTCTGTCAAATTAGGCAACAATTTAGAATGCACTAACGACACACTTGAACCAGAATCAACAAGAGCAACAACAGGAGACGAAGACGAAGACGAAAGACAAACATCAACGTGCACAATAATGGGTGAGATCGCACCACATACCTCCTCGAGGGGCTCCACTCGGACGACTGACGGCGGCCCCGTGTCACCAGTCCAACCTAGTTTTTTGCGTGCGGGCAAGATGCAATGAAGTGGCCCTCTTCACCACATCCATGGCACACTCCACGCACAGGCCTCGCAAAACTCTGGCCACGACCACGACTAGGCGCACCAGCACCAGCACCACGAGCAACAAAACGTACATGGTCTTGCTGGGGTCGGGTGGGGCGATACAGACTCACGCTCTCCATTTTCGCCTCCAAAGCAGAGAGACGCGAATCAAATCTCGACAAAAGCGAAGCCAACTGGTCTCGCTCAGATTCCGACTTCAGTGGACCGACTGCTGTGTAGGGGTCACGACCATGACTACCGGGCTTCACTTCCGGAGCAGCAGCAAATACGGGCTGTGCATACTGGTGAGGTACGGTGCGGGCCTGCTCGCGAGCATAAATAGCACCTACCTCGATGGCCTTTTGGACCGCCGCATCCAAATCAGTGGGCCGAGGTGACGCCAACGCCAAGCGCAAATCCTTCGATGCCTGGCCATCAATAAAAAGTTGCAAAAGCATTGAATCAAGCAGTGCACCTTGTTGTCCTGGGTAGGCTCGACGAGCGAGCCGACGAAGTTCCGTGGCATACCCGTGCTGAGTTTCACTCGCCAGCTTCACTCGCTGGCGAAGACTGGCCTCGTGCATCAATGCTTGCTGGGGCGGCTCAAGACGGACATGCAGAGCCTCGACTGTGTCGGAAAAGTTCATGTCAGGCGTGTGAGTTAGAATTTCGGTGAACATCTCATGAGCGGTACCAACAAGGCGAGCAGGTAGTAGCCGTAGCTTTTGGTCGTCGTCGTACCCACTCAACTCGCATGTGTGGACGAAATGCCTCATGTACGTGGTGAAATCTTGGCCTGGCTGATTTCCGAATGTCTCAGGAAGCAAAACTGGCTTCGGCAGTGGACGTGCATGTGGTGTGTCTGTGTCCGGCAAACGAAAATGATGGGACAACCCTTGTACCGGCGAACTCTCGCGCTCTTCAGCAATGTTCATGTCACAGCCAGCTTCAGCGAAGCTACGCTCTAGCTTTTCTTGTCTCTTGGATTTCGCTGAACGGCCCATTGTGAAAAAAAAAATTGTTTTTGTATTTTTGAATTTTCGAAAAAAAATATTATCTGCAAAAATTTCCCGTGGACTCGATCGACTATCGATCTCAATCTATTACGTAACCTATCGTGCGTAGCGGCAAACAACTAAATTTGGCAGAGACAATTCCAAATAGGCAACTACTCTACGGACGGACACAGTGTAGCTAGACTCTACTACCCAGCTAGCAGATATCCTAACAAGACACTAGACAGCAGCCAGTATGCACAAAACACGGACACAGAAAATGTTCCGAAAATGTTTGGCCAGACAGGTTGGCGCCAATGCTTGACCTATGGACTGAGTCTGTAAACAATGCATGCAACAAGAAAACGACGAGCAGAAAGAAACACAATGCAGAAAGGAAAATATCGACGAAGAGAGTGGATGAGGATATGGTTTCACTTGCGTGGGCCTTCGTGGTTCTTCATAGTCGGCGATCTCCGAAGGCGTACATACTCCGCCAGCGATGTAGTGGTGGACGTTTTCCGCTGCCACCAGTGTTAGCTGCTCCCGGCTAATGATGCCCCTCACACCGGAACACAGGGGTTTATATGATTGGATAGTTTATAGAAGTATTCGATAAGAGTGTAGACAGAAGGAGAACAGGACAACGACAACTCAAGACTAGACTAGAACAGAACTGGAGCATGCGCTCTTCTATGTGAGTGCTCATTGCCAAGGGGAACGAGCGGGAAATACAAATAGTGAGTATTCAGATCGTAGCATACATACACCTATTACACCTCAAACCGGCGGGTCAACCACATTGTGGCCCGGCAACTTCAAACGGGAACACACCGATACAACATACACAGTTGACCACCCATGCCTCAAACCGGCGGGTCAACCACACAACAACATACAGGTGTCACAACACTGAGACAGTACAGCACAACACTGAGAGGCAAATGCATTTGACCCTCCTTGGGGCCTCGTCATGTGGCACAAGATACCGACGTGTCATGTCTAAAGGGAGGGAGGGAGGGGAGAAAACACAACCTTGAGTCACTTTGGCTAACTGGATGACAGAAATTGTTGACAAGGAAGTTGCTTTGCTGACACGAGGCAGGGCAAAGCGGCCACGCAAGATTTATTTTTTCATCCTCCATTTTCGGAAAAATTATTTTTTATTCATGTGCCATGTGACGAACCGTGACAAAACACGTGCATGCGTGGGCTAACTTGGCTTTGCTGCTCAAAGCCGTCATTTAACCCACATGCATGCACGCATACACACAATAAAACATAAAACAACCAAAACATCAATATGCACATTTATCCAGACACGCTCTCACATACACACGCACGCACATGCGTGCCAAACGTACAAAACGTGGACACATGTACACCAAGCAGATAGAACACAAGGAAGTGGGGTTTGCCATAGTTTTTTTTTTTCAATTTTGTCTGATAAATATTTACGAGACTTTGCATCGAGCGACACCGTGGATAACATTGAGCCAAGAATTATGCAATAAACCAGAAGAGATATCTCTTCACAAGTAGGCAAATAAATGCGTAGGTGCCCGGCAACAGCAATCGGGCGAGTCACAGCAATGTACGTATTGCAACTTCAATGATACACATACACGGTTGACCACCCATGCCTCCATTTTCGGCGGGTCAACCACATGGTGGCCCGGCAACTTCAAACGGGAACACACCGATACAACAGACACAGTTGACCACCCATGCCTCCATTTTCGGCGGGTCAACCACATGGTGGCCCGGCAACTTCAAACGGGAACACACCGATACAATAGACACAGTTGACCACCCATGCCTCCATTTTCGGCGGGTCAACCACATGGTGGCCCGGCAACTTCAAACGGGAACACACCGATACAACAGACACAGTTGACCACCCATGCCTCCATTTTCGGCGGGTCAACCACATGGTGGCCCGGCAACTTCAAACGGGAACACACCGATACAATAGACACAGTTGACCACCCATGCCTCAAACCGGCGGGTCAACCACATTGTGGCCCGGCAACTTCAAACGGGAACACACCGATACAACATACACAGTTGACCACCCATGCCTCAAACCGGCGGGTCAACCACACAACAACATACAGGTGTCACAACACTGAGACAGTACAGCACAACACTGAGAGGCAAATGCATTTGACCCTCCCAAAAACCAGTGTTTACGACCAAGCATTTCTCACGGCATCGCTCATTAGCATAACTTCCTGCAAGTAACCATGGCAAACCCCTAAGTGATACCCACAGAGCCACACCGGCACAAGGACTGCACAACAAGCGGACGGCACAACACTGTACAACACTACAAATGTACCTCACTTCTGTTCTCAACACCACATGGGCGTGGGCTGTTCCAGTCTTTGCTGCTAGCCATTGCACAGAGGGTATACCGGCTGCACGCCTGACATAGTGATCGGATGCTGCACTTCGCCAGCAGCCTGCACGGCATATGGCTGCTTCACAGACACTTGTACTCCGGTGAGCCATGAGTGTGGCCCCGCCAATGCGCACAGAATGGGAGCTCACCCGGTTGCAGTTGAGGATCCTAGTCGAGAAAACTCGGGAGAAGTAGCCGCCGTCGACGAACACAAACACTGGCCGTGAGCTGCCGGCAGTAGTGGTCAGGGACCGGAACTCGGCCATAGCCGAAACTGGGTACATCAGATTATGTGTGCGCAAATACCGGGCTTAAAAGGTCTGAGTCGCTCATGAGATCATTGCTGGCAGCAATCAGAGCGGCGAGTTCAGCGGAGGAGTTGGCACCAGGCATTGGTTGGCTGTGGAAGCCAGTTCTCGGAAGCGAGTAATCACAATAGGTTCATGCTGCATCTCAGCGGCCCATTGCCCCAAAAACGATTGTCCTTGATAGAAACCACAGAAGCCAACATCAGAGGCATCCGTGAATAGCTCAAGGTCAGGGGACTTTGAACACTCGACATCGTAGAAGAAGGATTGGCCATTCCAGTTTGCGGCAAGGGAGCGCGACCATTCGATGTCCAAGTGAGCTTTTGTGTTGATGTTGACTACTGACTGAAGAGACTGAGAGAGTTGTCCAGCTAAGATACAGGAGTTGACGGATGAAGGTCCTGCCAGGAGGAACCACCTTTGCGGCAAGGACAAGGTTCCGATCAGCGACAGCAGTTCCCGCGTTGTGTAGCTAGTGCGCGTGGACTACTCACTCAAAGCCGCTAGAAAGGCAAATAACTTCTTGTCAGGTAGCCGCATCACCTGGTCCTCGCTGTCGACTTCTATGCCAAGTACCGTCACCACTGTTGCTGGGCCGACCACCTTGCTGAGGTTGTCGATGACCTGCGGAACCGTTGCTTTCAGTTGAACTCATTCCATTGACCATCAAGCACACGAACATAAGCACCTTGTTTAGTGCAGCGTACTGGTTCTTGTGCTGGCCTGCACAGCTATCAGGAATAGTTTTACCCAGAATGACTGGGTTGATGATTTCGCCCTGAGATAGGGTAATGCCACGTGCACAGCAGATGTGGTGCATAACGAACGCACAGTGGGCATAAAATCTTCATATCCACATCAAAGGCCACAAGCGTTTGACAACCACACCCGATACGTAGATGATCAACGATCGTCCCTGCACTCAACGTCGCTCCAGCAGTAGTAGCATGTTGCAAACCACCATCGTACGTTGTCCATGTAAATGCCTCTGCTCCTTGTCTACTTCTTTGGCTAGATTTGTTGACAGGTAATCACAGCCATTTCTGAGTTGGCGTCAACGCCACTCGCCAAGTCGAGGCCTACTGGTCCTCTGCTTCGAGTAGTTCTTGCTTGGCCTCATGAACTCCAGGAAATTCACTACTGCGACCATGAGCTACTCTATCTGCCCACGCAACAAATAAATATTTCAACCAAGCGCGATCGATCGCTGTTTGAAGTTGTGAATTTTCAAGCGCTTCCAGCTCACACGAGTCAGCGCTTGTCTACACAGACTAGCACAACTAATACTCTTGTACAGCTTGGCGGAGAGACAAAGGAGAAAACGGAGAAAACACAACCTTGAGTCACTTTGGCTAACTGGATGACAGAAATTGTTGACAAGGAAGTTGCTTTGCTGACACGAGGCAGGGCAAAGCGGCCACGCAAGATTTATTTTTTCATCCTCCATTTTCGGAAAAATTATTTTTTATTCATGTGCCGCGTGACGAACCGTGACAAAACACGTGCATGCGTGGGCTAACTTGGCTTTGCTGCTCAAAGCCGTCATTTATTTCGTGCCCCCTAACGAATATTGCGAGAAGTTAATTCCAAACGAAAATTTCTACTTATACAGTAGCTACTTTGCCGCCATTGATACTGTGATGGCATGCATCAAAGAGCGATTTGATCAGCCACGGTACAAAGTTTACAGCATCCACATAGACTTTCACTCACAGGCGTCGCAACATTGGTAAATCCTGGAATTGGGTGGTCACTGTCGTGATTTTGTTTAGCACCAAGCTTCTGAGAGAAAAAGAACAAAGAGGATCAAGCACACGTTTTTTTGAGGATTTCAAACACCATTGTAGCCACGTTACCAATACACAATATGAACCTGTGCTACATCCCCGGCCAGAGAAATCAAACCTCATGAGAATAGTAGCGCTGGGGCTACTCAATCCTAGCACCACACACACACACACACACACACACACACACACACACACACACACACACACACACACACACACACACACACACACACACACACACACACACACACACACACCACTCTGCATACTTGTGTACGGCGCAAATTAATTCATGAGGTCGTATTTCTCCAGCCAGGACTGTACGAAAAGTCTCTCATCTACCCGAATCAGCAACTATTTGGGCATAACCCATTTTAAATACAGTAGACTCCCTTTGATTTGAACCTCAAATTGCCAGGCCCCGACATCGAATTATCAGGAACGTCTAAGTATCCAAAATGCAGCCCAATGCACTGGTATGTACGGCAGAATGCTCGAAATCCCGCCTAATCCGCGTGATGAAAGGCTGTTGGACAGCAGCATGTCGTTCTGAGGAACGGAAGTGGAGCATAGGCAAAGACGAATTTTACGACTTCCAGTCAAGAGTGTTGTTGTTCGCAAACATCTCTGCGCATGAGCTGACGCGGCATGAAAGGCCACTGAGATCCGCGAACGGAGTCAGCCACCTGGAAGAAGTTATCTTCAATCAAATCTTTGCACTTTGCCTCGCACGGGCTTGAATCAAAGTTCGAGAGAAGGTGGGTTTCTTCAACGCTACTGTCAATACTGGAGCAGACCAGAGATAGATTTTTGAGCTACCCTTGGCTAGAGAAGGAGATAAAAATGAACTTTGAATTACAATTATAGCAACACCATCTCACTTCGAAATAAGCGTTCGAAGGACATAGTCACTGTACTGTAAACTGCTCTTCTGTATGAAGACTGAGTACGAATTATCCAGTCGGTGCACGTTCCCTTCTTCGAATTACGCATTCGAATTCGACTTGAAGTGACTTGCAGGAGAGAGGTACAATGAAAAGGTTGGAATTACACGGAATGTTCGAATCATACTGTATTCGAATTAGAGGGAGTCTACCTGTATAAGCGAATCATTTTGCTTAATTTTCTCAACTTTGAAAATGGGCTGACTGTATAAGATCTGGTTATGTTGGTTATGTTGGTGGACAGTTTGTCATAACTCGTAACATTTTGTCCTTTTCCTTTCTTCATCATAAATGATTTATGAAGCGAATATCCCGGTGGTTTGCGCACTGGAGGTGCGCGAGAGCTAGGTCTCAGATCATTGAATGACTCAGTAACATGTCATTTTTGTGCCCTGTTATCTCACTTTTCGACTGCTTGACTCGTCCACAATACTGTCATGCACGAGGAGTACTGTTAGATATTGGCGTCCGGTTTCGTGATTCGCTTTCGCAAAGCTCCCCCACCCCCTCCCTTCTTTATCTCTGATATTGCTGAAGCACCCAAGTTCGGTGGTGTGTTGCCTTGCTGCTTCTGATTGTAGCTCGACCGCATTGTCTTGTTACTAACTGGTCTAAGATCATGATTGAGAAACAGAGGGTACCAGGTTCAAATCCTGCTTGGAAGCGGAAGGATTTTTTCCAGCCGTGCTGCGACCCACAGTTAATTGGGAACTCGTGACCTGGCACGAGGAAAACATGGATGCAGTGAATGGGATTTTCGGTCTTTGACCACTTGCTGGTGAGCTGATCTACTCACCTCCCACCGCTTTAGGAGCTGCATCTGCGCCTTGATCCTTGAAGGGTGGTGGCGTTCCTACGGATGTGGAAAGCCCGGCTTCCAGCCGAGTCTCACGCGAACCGTGAAATCTAACTGGTCCCGTCATAGTACCATTACAGTCGGCATTCTTTGTTGCGGTTGTCACATAGTACTATTCCTCTCCCCCCCCCCCCCCTCCCCATCGCGCTTGGACCTGGAGAAAAGTACTATGCACAGGGCTATAGTGATTGGACCCCCCCCTCCGGGAACTTTACTTTGTAGTGCTTGTACCCCCGGGAACTTTACTATGCAGCAGAATGCCCCCTCCCCCCCCCCCCCCCCCAACACTGCATCACTGAACCGGGTAGTAGAGAAGAGAACAACATCGCAGTCATGTACAGTAGATCTACATGCCTCGGAAATTTGACACTCAGCTCAGTCTTGCCAAAACTTTGTGACTGCTTTATTTCTCGCCTGGCGATGTACATGTAGTCTTGATCCGAGGCAATGTTTCGGAATGTGTGGGCATTGGCTGCCCTCAGTTTCGAGAAAAACTCCAAGCGATAATACGGAGGATTAGCAAGATGAAATTCGCGTTCGTGTTCGCGAGCATTTTTCAGTTCGCGAACTGGATTGCGAACTTTCGCCTTTTTCGTTCGGAAAAGGAGTCAGAACACGAATCGCGGATTCGTGTCAGGGCAGTCATAAATTTACTACACTGTACTGTCTGTACACAAAGGACGACGTGTCAACGTCATGCATGTGCGAATTCTGTTTGCTAATCCTTCTCATAAGGCGAATTCCGTCACTGAGTTCGACTTTCTTTGGAGTGCGAACACGAACGCGAATTTTGTCTTGCTAAACCTCCGTATTCTTTTTCTTCGCTTCCTTGCCAAAGTTCTCAAGACCAACACAAATCGTCGCCAAAACGTACTCAAAACACATGTAGATTTCGTGCCGAATTCCGCCCCAAACAATTTCCGCTGGCCAGTCTCACCACCAATTGAACCCACTGATATATACATCTACACGAGCAATGATTCGAGTCAAAAGAAGGACAACTTCGCCGCTGAATGAGCATACTTTCTTAGGGTGATATTCTACACAGTATACATGACCAGTATACCTATGGGCATGAAACTACCGTATTTCCCCGTAAGGCCGCAACCACACTACGTAAAAATCACAGTACAAATTTTCATGCATATCTCAGTACAAGTCGGTACGCAACCACACTACACTTTTCGGTCTGCATAGATGACGTTTTCACGCGAACAGCACGTGACGTTGTCGTACCAAAGCGTGTGCCATGCGCTGGAAAAGACAGGGAAATTCAAAAACAATGCTGATTCTGATGCTATGTACGACGACCATGTACAAAAACAAAGTTGTACAGAGGGGATGGAGCGCGAAAACGACGAAAACGACAAACGTGGCTTTCTACAGGGGTGCGCCAGTTGCTGAAAACCTACAAAGCGCGTTTTGCATTTCGCACGCGTCGGCATGACGACTTCTACTGTAATGCAGTTTGTACGTGATTTTGTACCTAGTGTGGTTGCAGCCTAAGTTAGTTCTCCCCAATGACTTAGTACCCCCTATAAAAAATACACTTTCCACTGCCGAGGTTATCACCCCGAAAGACAGTTCCCCCCGAAAGATAGTAAGTTCGTACCCGTCCTACATGTACAGACACCGTACAGTACATACATCATATGCACGGACACTAGAGTTGCGCAGGCTTCCCACTGCGTGTCATTTACCCCAGATAAAAAAGTACTCCCCGAAAGATAGTACCACCCCCGAAAGTTAGTACTCATGTGGCTGCTAAGTTCGAAAGTTAGTACGTACTAACTTACGGGGAAATACGGTAATAGTTACAGCGAATGATGTGTGGTGCTCTTGGACATGTGTACATGTATATTATAATTCCTGGTGGTGACAGTCAATTTTTTCTTTAGACTTTTCCCTTTTCCATTCCCTCAACTTATATTATGAGTGTGTGATGATATTGGAACTATCAATTTGGTGCCATTAAAATAATATCCCTATACATATAACCAAGAGTCCATAACTCCCAGAGTGTGCAACGCGTGATAGGGCCTTGTCACGACTCGTTTTCAACATTACGTCATTTTCATCTACATTTTCATGTAGCGAATGGCGCGGCCTGCACGCGCAGCTACACGAAAATGACGTGATGTTGAAAACGAGTCGTGACAGACATTTATGTGGCGTTGCACACTCTGGGGGTTATGGACTCTTGATGATAACTATAACCTTCACATCCTCATATTTACACCTGTCCATATATGACATTAGAATTGCATGCTGCGTACTACTTCCCGTTCTACCGGTACCTTTTCTAGTGGAATGTACATGTGTATTGTAATTATAACACCATCGAGACGACACATTGACCAGCAGAAAGACACGAAATTGCTTTAAAATAAATAAACTGAAATTGAACAAATAAAGAAAAATGCAGGTCTGGATGCCATGAAAAACAGTAAAGCACCCTAAATAGTATGAGCATACACTTATACATAATGGAAACCTTTGGTGCCAGTTAGCACTATCTGTGCTTGCTGGCACCAAAGAACATTATTCTGGCGTGAACATTATTCTGGCGAGCAGAGCATTCGCGCAGACATACAAGCTCACACACGCATGCACACAAACACGTACATACACACACACACACACACATGCATGCACACGCGTGCACACGCACACACACACACACACACACACACACACACACACACACACACACACACACGCGCGCGCGCGCACGTGTGAGTTGTGTTTGGTTGGGGACGGTTGCCTCTTTTGAGGCTCCGTCCTCGAAGTCGTTCCTGTCATGTAAACAGTCATTCTGCGTGTGGTGGATACCAGGAGACGACTGTTGTGACCTCAGCTAGTGGCCTTGCAAGTCACTGCAGTGTAGAGTTAGCTGACACTTGCACAAGAGGACTATTTTCAGCACGAGTTCAATTTGAAATTTGAATTTGCG